TCTATATATAATTGGGTATACATTATTTTGGTAATCTAAAATTTCATGTTCCTATTGAGGCAAAAATATTAGGAGTTTATAGCACATATTCATTTTTTTATTATGAAAGCAATGATGGGTAGCTTGGTTCAATAATAAATTGGTTCAATGATTTAGATGTTTCAAATGAGAAGTAGAGGAATGGACAGCATTTATAATGTTATATGTTGAGTACTCCAATGCTGCATTTATTTCTCTGTTCGTCTTTAGTACTGTATCATTGGAATATAAACATATTAGAGACTAGTAAAGTAGTACATTATATTATATTAAGAAAGTGATGCCTGGAAATATAGTTGAATTCAATTTTAATTTGGATATTTTTTGGATATATTGTAGATAGATATTTTTAGTATATTATATCGTTTAATTACCGGTCTTGCTTTAATTTCCAAGATATTTACAGGAACATATTTTCGAACATCGTTATTATAGTACTTTGAATACAGACTAATTTTGCTCTTTCGTTTACAATATATGCAGGATGTCTTATTTGAAACACAATTATCTCCTAATCTAGTTTATATGAAATAGTAAAATTTACTTTGTTTCGATATTTTAAAATCACAAACTTTAAAATATTTTGAAGTTCAATACATGAAAACCAGTGTTTTCAGCGTGGAATGATTGAAATTTCAATTTTTATTTATAAAAAGTAAATTTTAGTAAAATGTTAAAATTATATTAATACTTAGAAATATGTATGGTAATAAAATAAAAATTACTTCAATAATTGGTGTTCAAGTGCTTATCAATCAGTGCATTAGCAAAATAAAAATTTGAAAGACAGTAATTATGCTAACAATATACGGAGTTTCTAAGTAGTCATCTATTTAACAATAAGTATTATCATACTACATATGTCACGTTATCACTGTCTGCACTGCTACATTAAAAAATCATTTAGCTGGTATGGAATTACCGAATCATTAGAATGAAACGAAATTTTGAAAAATGAAGAGAGGTCGGTAAGGATGAAGTGAAGACTCACGAAGAAAATAAAATTTTAGTGGGGACATTGATAATAAAATTGTGAGTACAATACATTAAATGCTGCCTACACAAATATTACTAATGCAATCGTCCTTGGGCATTAACTTTCAAGTTAACAAAAATTCTATTTATAAATATTATAAAAAGTAGCTATTTTCAAAATTTACCAACACGGACGTGACATGTTTTTAAAAATTTCATTGAAAAGTTTTTAATAATCAAATGTGATATGACTTGGAAAACATACAGGATAAAATAAAATATTCCCGTCTGATTATTTTGTACCCCTTTCATTCAAAAATTATATTTCCACAATAAATATCTCCGTTCCATGATAAATATTTGTCTCGAAAATTATTATAAAATTATTATAAATTTTTATAAAATTATAATATAAAATTGTATTATTATAGAACTGACATTCGTGACTCGATCATGATTAGAGTGATGCAATGATGTATTGGGAATTCTTCTGAATTTATAGGGCATATCGCGAATCTCGTTTCCACTATAAAATTATTAATGAATAAATAAAAAATCATTGAATTTTACCTCTTATTACTTTCAAAGTTCTCTATAAAGTATTCTTACAATTAGACCACAAAACTGTTCATCTCGATTCAGTGATATCGATTTTTTAAATCGATTATATGCATTAAACAATAACTATGTAAGATATACTTTTCTGGAGAATATCATTATATTTAAAATCCAAATCCGGAAGTTACAAAATACTTTCTTTCTGTAATTTATCTTTGATGCCTGGCTCAAATTATTATATTTTTTTCTTTATCACTTTTGCATTATTGTTTTTTCTTTGCCCTATTTTATCTTCTTTTTCTGTTATATATTATATATTCTGGATTATATGTTATATATGTTATATTTTATATATATATATA